AGAAAGCAGGGGACTATTAAAATGGGTTCGTCCGCCCGTCACACTTTTTTGGGACACAATAACTCTCCTTCTAATTAAGCTAAAATGTTCAAACTTGGTGTAGTTGTTTATGAGGTCAATGCCTTGATGGAGTTCGAAGATGAGCATTTTCTGCTTAGGGTAAGCAGAGATAAGCAATTTGATTGGTTGATGCTTTTGGACACGATAACTTTAGTTCTAATTAAGTGAGAGTGATGAAACTTGGTGTATAGTTTCATTACATCAATAGCTTGACTAAGTTCGATAATAAGCATTTTCTGCTCAGGGTAAGCAGAGCGATAAGCAATTTAATTGGCCGAGACTTTGGAACACAATAACTCTCCTAATTAAGCTAAAATGTTCAAACTTGGTGTAGGCGTTTATTAGGTCAATTCCTTGATGGAGTGTTAAGATGAGCATTTTCTGCTTAGGGTAAGTAGAGATAAGCAATTTGATTGGAGATAAGCAATTTGATTGGTTGATGCTTTGGGACACGATAACTTTAGTTCCAATTAGGCGAGAGTGATGAAACTTGGTGTATAGTTTCATTACATCAATACCTTGACTAAGTTCGATATTGAGCATTTTCTGTTCAGGGTAAGCAGAGCGATAAGCAATTTGATTGGCCGAGACTTTGGAACACAATGGGGTGTGAAGATGAGCATTTTTTGCTTAGGGTAAGCGGGGATAAGCAGTTTGATTGGTTGATGCTTTGGGACACGATAACTTTAGTTCTTATTAAGTTAGAGTGATGAAACTTTGTGTCATTACATCAATACCTTGACTAAGTTCGATGATGAGAATTGTCTGCTTAGGCTAAGGATCAATAAGCATTTTGATTGGTCAAGACTTTGGAACATAACAACTTTGCTTCTAATTGAGGTAGAATGTTTAAACTTGATGTAGATGTTCGTCTTGACTGAGTTCAATGATTAACATATCGAGCTAATGCTTTGGGACAAGATAACTTTGATTCTATCTGATAGAGAGTGATGAAACTTAGTGTATAGTTGATAATCAATTTGATTGCTCGATACTTTTGAAAAAAATAGATGTGCGATTAATTAATATGTGTCATCTATTTATTTGGGGATTTCGGCGGGGGACATTAGGCTCACTGTTGGCTTGTTTAAAACCTGTCCTGGGCCGTCCAGAAAGAAGGGAAAAGAAACGGGTAGAGTGGATATAAGTGTACTGTTCTTCAGTTTTAAATATATTAAACACTTTAATGAATGTTTTTTTCGATTAAAAAATTGCTCTCTGAACTATTTTGTTATTGGTAAAAACTCCTCAGAATCGCTGAGAATGCATATTTAGACACCATTTTGTAACACAAATTCAAAAAATTCTAAAAGACCCCCTAGTACCTCACGCCAGCGGCGTTTGGTCATATAGTCGGTCCTTTTCTTTCACAAACGAACCCGCCCACCTTGCTTCCAGCCTACGGGCCCGACTCTGTATGAACACTCATAAATTGCTAAAGAAAAATGATGCTGAAAATACCTACAGAGTGCGATTTAGAGCGTCTAATTTTCAAAAAATTTCAGGGGAGGACCCCCGACCCCCCCCCCCCTCTTTACCAATAGTCGCCCGCGCATGGACTGTCCCCACCACTAATTTTGAGCGATCTGCGTCCCTGGAAGTACATGACCCCAAACAACATCATAGAAGTCCTGTTAAACCTCCTTGAAATTGGTATGGAGTAGGATTAAAGGTAAAAGTAGTGCATTTTCAGTTAACCATCTAAATGTTGATTATACCACCTTAACAACATTTCCTGATATTGGTAATTCATCATCCAGTTTCTCCTCCGATGCATTTCGGGACATTAAGAATCGGCAGGAGAAAAGGCGACTTAACTTTAAGTCCCGTAATGATGAATGCTATAATGACAAGTTTTGCATTGCTGAACTCCGCGATACTCTTAAACGGGCCCGTTACACTGCAACTGGTCCAGATTAAATTCACTATTAAATTCTAAAACATTTATCTTTTCCAACTCTCCTAATTTTATTAGATCTTTTTAACCGGATTTGGGTTGATGGGAATTTCCCTCCTTCGTGGCATGAAGCCACAATAATTCCCATCCCCAAACCGGGTAAAGATCATACGAATCGCTTTAACTAGCTGTATTTGCAAAACCATGGAGAGATTGATCAATCGAAGGCTTGTTTGGTACCTCGAGTCCAACAACCTTCTTACTGACCTCCAATGTGGATTTCGGTCCCAAAGGAGCACTCATGATCATCTCGTTAGATTTGAAACGTTTGTCAGGGATGCTTTCATCCAGAAACAACATTTAATTGCTATATTTTTTGATCTGGAGAAAGCATATGATACCACATGGAAATATGGTATCATGCGCGACCTGCATAACCTCGGTCTGCGTGGTCGTTTACCTATCTTCATTAAACATTTCTCAGAAGATAGGTCGTTTAAGGTACGAAAGCCCTCAATATATTGAGTCTTATCAAAAACTGACTGGGTAGCAGACCGTAAGGTCTTGCTCAGATTATATCGAGCACTGATAAGATCTAAACTCGATTATGGGTGTATTGTGTATGGGTCTGCTCGCGAGTCTTATCTCAAAGAGCTTGATACCATACACAACCAAGGACTTAGAATCAGTTTAGGAGCACTTCGAACATCTCCAATGCAGAGTTTATACGTCGAGGCGCACGAGCCCTCATTGCACGACAGACGTGATAAACTTGCACTGCAGTATGCTACAAAAAATTGCATCTCTGCCATCATTCGGTATTCGCATCCAACCCCTTTTGTCAGAGGCTGGCATCAGTATTGCGAATACCGCTTTGTTTAGTACTCCACCCTGGACCATATCGCCTCCAAAAATCGATTTAGATCTAACGAAAAACAAAAAGAAATATACTAGTTCCACAGTGTTTCAGTCTCTCTTTCGAGAACTGAGGTCTGAATATGGTGATTATGCTCCGATTTACCATCTGGAATCATTTCTGTCAGACTTCCACCTGCTGCATCCATATTTACTGCTGAACTCCAGACCATCTTTCAGGCACTGGAGTTCGTTCATTCAATCATCTTTTACTTTAAAACACGTTATATTTACTGATTCTCTGTCCTCTTTACAAGCAATAAACAGCTTGTAAACCCATTAGTAGCAGACGATAAATGTCTGCTACTATCACACGAGTTTATCGGCAAGGACACGGTCCTTTGCTGGCTCCCCAGTCACGTTGATATTAAAGGGAATGATCAAGCAGACTTCGCTGCCAAGTCTGCTTTAGATCTTCCCATATCAAAATTCCTTTTATCATTCACCGATTTTAAATCCCCCATTAATTCTTTTATATATGGCCGCTGGCAACGGTCTTCGGATCTTGCAGGCACAAACAAACTCATCACATTAAGCCTCTCCTAGGAGATTGGCCCAACTCCTATAGAACCAACAGGAGGGATGACAGTTAAACACATTTTGATTGAGTGCGAGTATCTCAAAAATATAGGAAAAACCACTACCGTTGCCAGACTTTACATAATCTATTTGCCCAACTGGGTTTATTTAATAAAGTGTTAAGACTTTTTAAAAGAGACAGGATTTTATCATAAATTTTAAGTGTATATATTATCTTTTCATTTTTGTATTTTAAATATTTATATGCATAAAACGATTTATTTTACTTTTAATTTGAATTACTACTGTGAACTGACTGTTAACCGCATCCATCCAAATCAAGCAGACGATACAAGTACCGGTAAAACTTCATCCTCACCCTATATTATAGAGTGTGCCCAATCCACAGAATTGTTGCAGAAAAGATTAAAAGTATTAACAGTGGTACAAAAACACTAAACAACGGCGATAAGTGACCGATAATATTACTAATGGATCAAGATTACCAAAACGCAATGATGCATGGCGACTTACAGGGAGACAACACAGTAATAATAATCCCAACCGCACAAAATAATCAGCACATGGAAAATAGCCCCTGAAGATCACCCCGAGACGTTTACAGATAAGATTCCACACGACATGGAAACCGCTTTAAAAAAAAATCATCTCGGTGCCTAAGCTTATAACCTTTGGGGGGGGGGGGGGGGCGAATGCGCTGTATCTTAAGATATGTCATCGAGTCAACTGGCGTTGTTTCGATTCCTAGGTTGTACGTGACAAGTAGTAGGGTCGCCTGTCCAACCTTATGGGTTTTCTCCGGGTCCTCCGGTATCCTCCCACTGGTAAAGACCCCTACGCGCAAGCGAATTATTGAAATAAAAATATTGAACTATGTGTTAATTAATGACCTAGTTTGTGTCGAGTGGACGTTAAACCCCATTTTTCTCTCTCTTTTAACCTTTTACTCTAAAGGACCCAGGAATATTTACATTCTACAAATTCCATATTATCTGTATCCAAGAAAGTTTCTGGGACGAAGAAATCGTGTACATATGCAACACATTGTGAAACGGACAAATTGTTTTTATTTAAGCATAAATTTTCTTTTCTGTGATATAATTTAGCCTGTCTCGCAAAATTCACCTGCATTGGCTGAGAAAGTTCATCCTGATTTTCCAGCGTGGTTTCTCCTTGTCAGTGATGCAGGACGGAGGGCCCGACAAGGACAGCTGTCTAGTCAGTCGGATGGGACGAAAAAACCGAGGCCCCATGTACATATTGGCGTGCACGTAAAAGATCCCTTGGCAGTTAGAATTCAATATAAGAGTAGGCCGTAGCGCCTCTGCCCGGGCAAAATTTCCCTCATAGCACACTGTATGGTGTATGCCCGTCTTCATTAGCCCAGTTTAGGAGCAGAACAGTAGGACGTTAAACCCCATTTCATTTCATGTTTTGCATTTTACATGCCCGTCTTCATTAATCCCGTCGGTGCAAAGCAGTGGGAAGGTAAACTGCAATGCATTTCACTCTCTGAGGTCGGTGATATTATATTTTATGTTCTAGATGATATCCCAAATATAATAACAAATCTAATTTACAAAGTTTATTCCCAGTGAAATAAGAGCAAGTTTCTAACTAAATTAGATAAAGGTTCATATCAGGGCAGTGAGATCACCAATGTACTGAAAATAAAACAAAACATTATTACATACGAAGACTGTGATACTCTACCCTGGACATGTTCTACTTACATGGAGTGTTATTTCGTATTTACTTTGGTTTTTATTTTCAATTCTAGGGGGATTTTGCTGCGAATACGACATGCAGTTTACTCGTATTTGATGACAACTGTCAATGTTGTTGTTTGTCCAACCCCAGCGACTATACATACATATCATTTCCCAGAAACCCGAGTGTTCTAGTCTAAATTGGCCTAATCAATATCAGTAGCTAGTATTCCTGCCTGGGCAATGTTTCTATCAGTTTAATGCCTTGACCAACTTGCTATTTATTACACCACAATTTCTCATAGTACCCTTGAAGCTGTTGATTGTTATCTAAAGCTTTTCCCCCCACCCCAACGCATTCGCGTACTACGATTTGCTAACCCCGAGGCCTTGATGCCGCTACTGTTCATCAGGAAGCCCCATGGTCCCACTGCCTCCAATCACAAAAGACTTAAACGAACCAATGTCAGAAGGTTTATTGTCAAGTCTCGTTTAATTAATGGGGTGTGTGGTTAACTTGGGTATCGTGTACGGGAGATAATAAATAATAACTTACTCAGGCGAAACAGGTACCAACATTTAGTTAACAGCCTTCTCTACAGGACTTGGGGCATTCCTGATGACAGGAACCATCCTTTCCCCAATATCCTGGTTTGCAACCATTCAAACAAATACCATCTGATCGTTGACATGCATCTTTACAGTTAACACACGGCTGATCACAGTTGGTACCGTAATAGCCATTAGGACAGTTTTCTAAGGGGTAAAAGGTAATGCCATATAATTTCATTTTAAACATACATTATGCAAGAGCTAAATCGGTCTATTGCAGGTGTTTCTTTAGGCCTATTAATTAGACATTTATTAATATGACAGACAAGACCATAATCAATTCTCGATTTTAAACAGATTTGAATCCGATCTGCGATACCACGGCTGTTCATGATTAACCATAAAAAGGGATAATCAAGACTTTCGTAACAACGGTAACAATGGCAATCGAGGCTACAGTGTTTTTGAAATTTGGTATTCTCTGCTCAGAGGCAAATTATTTGACTGATATTTTCAGCAAAACGTTATCTATTTTGTGGCAGAACCGTTAGCTCATATCTATTCTTCCATAATGTCTGCTGATTGAGTGCAAGCATCTTAAAGATGTTAGATCCAAATACTGCCGTTGTCAGTCATTACAGAATTTATTTGCCCAACCGGGTCTATATTGTAACGCCGCGCGTTAGATCTTTTAAAAGGAGACCCGTTTTATAGAAAGTTTTGTTTTTATATATTATACTTGTTTTTTTTTTCAAATCTGATTACAACACAGATCCTATTTCGTTTCGATTTTTATAGTTCAAAATTTTGTTTTACTTGTCTTTACTACACTAGAATCAGGAAGAGTTGCTATATAACCTGCGTTCGGATTGATGTGAGGGATTAGCGAGTTACGGCGAGTACTTGGCGCATGGTGTATTTCAGTAGAAACATCATCGCTGATTGGTTAATCAAATGTCTGACGTTATAGGGTCCACTACCGGTCAGATCTTCATGTAGTGCAGGTTATCGAAAGTATAAAAAATACGAAACAAAATAAAGATCAGTATTTTAATCAGATTGGGTTTTTTTTCCATGTTTTATCTTTTAAATATTTGATATACAGAAAATAATATTTAATTTTAATAGTGTTAACTGTGATATTTGTTTTTATGTATATTAATATTTTGTGATTTCATTTAATGTGTCTCGTAAATATCACCATATGTTTGGCGCAATATAACCCGGTTGGAGCTGCCGTGCCATTAAACAATATTTCATTCATTCATTTTACCTGTAAATATTTGTAGTTCACATACGGTCAATATTGGAGGTTGAGGAGATGATTTTCCAACGGATATATAAACATATCTGCCAGCAAATGATGGTAAATCTGTCACATTACATTTCTTTATGGTATATGTTAGGTTTCCTGGTGATGCTTTGTCGTCTTTATAGCATTGCGTAGCTGATGTAAATCCGGAACTATCACACTTACCACTAGAACTCAACCTAACCTCAAATCCATCCAGACGATTTCCATAATCTGATACGGAAATGAAAATATAAATTTACAGCTACCTAAATTAGATAATGACAGTTAAGGTTACACTTGACTCAAACGACAAATATTTTTTAAAAAAATCAGCGACAGAAGCAATTCTGCTTGCTTTCGCCAACCTATTAATTAACCGATAGTCATTTACACGACGCACAAGTCCGGGGGGGGGGGAGGGTCTTCGTGTGACAAGCCGAACAGTTTCATATTGAAATCAAGTTTTCGGTGACACGAGCAATAGTTCCGCATAGGTTCTACCTTAATCTCAAAAAGCGGATAATTAGGCTTCTAGATATCTCTGCATAAACTGATTAACGATTCTGCATATTTATAGGATTCCTCATTATGACCAACTTGAATCCGTGGATAGACGAAGGGGCTGTCAGAAAGGTGTATTTTTACATACTTTTTCTGTTAAATATCTTAATGCTACCGATAGTAAAACTCTCCTTTAGATCAACACACAACCATTGAGTATCCGGTTTCATGTATTGATCACTGTGCACGCAACTCAGGTCGTCATAGATAGGACTAGTATTGCCATCTACCGCTCTAGAGGAAACACCGCCCCATCCAACTGAACTGAGAGTCGTTGGTTTATTGAGAGCCGCATTAAAGGCACCTGAAACAAATATGAAGAAAGTTACATTTTATCATTTTCATTACAGACTCTCAATTATTGTAATTACATCCATTTCCTCGTACAAACTGTATGAGTTGTAGATGTATTTGGACGAAAAACAAATTCAGTCTAATTTATCCATCGAACGTTTGCTTCTAGTCCCATCTCAAATCGTTTTAATCATCCGAAGACGAGTACCCCAATCTATTTTAGGCAATTTTAATTGTCTAGCGACTTGCCATGTATTGGTTGTTAGTCGATGTCCATTTACCATAAATATCCAGGCCTAAGTAATCTGCCGTTTAATAGCAGAGTCAACTGGACGTATAATTTCTTCAATGTTTTTACACCCGTTAGCTATTAAATCAAACCATAAGAAACGATTCTTAAGTCTCTCGAATTGACAGGCTGTCAATCTAAGACACCCTTACATTTTTGTCTTCTGGGGAGCAGACCGCAAGGTCTTGCTCCGATTATATCGAGCACTAATAAGACCAAAACTCGATTATGGGTGTATGGGTCTGCCCGCGAGTCTTATCTCAAAGAGCTCGACACCATACACAACCAGGGACTTAGAATCAGTTTAGGAGCATTTCGTACATCTCCAGTGGACAGTTTATACGTCGAGGCGCATGAGCCCTCACTGCACAACAGACGTGATAAACTTGCCCTGCAGTATGCTACGAAAATAGCATCTTTACCAAATCATATTTCATTTAACACCATATTTAGACCTCTTCATGAGCATTTATATCTGCTCAAGACCAAAGTCATTCCATCATTTGGTATTCGCATACAACCCCTTTTGTCTGAGGCTGGTATCAGCCTTGACAGTATTGCGAATACCCCCTTTTTTAGGACTCCACCGTGGGCTATATCTCCCCCAAAGATCAATTTCGATCTTTCACAACATAAAAAAGAGATACTATCTCTACGGTGTTTCAGTCTCTCTTCCGAGAGCTACGGTCTAAATATGGTGATTATGCTCCAATATATACAGATGGTTCGAAAGATAATAATCGGGTAGCTTCGGCTCCCGTGACACCTTCTGAGACCATTTCTGTGTGTCTTCCACCTGCTTCTTCCATATTTACAGCTGAACTCCAGGCCATTCTACAGGCTTTGGAGTTCATTCAATCATCATCTTTATTAAAATATATAATCTTTACTGATTCTTTGTCCTCATTACAAGCAATAAATAACAAACAGCTTGATCACCCATTAGTAGCAGATATATATCATCTGCTACTATCAGTCGGATGTATCAGCAAGGTCATTGTCCTTTGCTAGCTCCCAAAGTCATATGAATATAAAAGGGAATGATCAGGCAGACTCTGCTGCCAAGTCTGCTTTAGATCTTCCTGTATCTGAATTTTATGTACCTTTTAAGGATTTTAAATACATCATAAACACATTTATTTATGATCGCTGGCAACGGTCTTGGGATCTTGCAGGCACAAATAAACTTCATCACATTAAGCCTCTCTTAGGAGACTGGTCCAACTCCTATAGAACTAATAGGAGAGATGAAGTTGTTTTGTGTCGCTCTCGCATAGGTCATACTTTTTTAACACACATTTTCATCTTGAAGCGAGAGCCTCAACAAGAATGTGAACACTGTCATGTTCCCTTGACAGTTAAACACATTTTGATTGAGTGCAAGCATCTCAAAGATACAAGATCAAGATATTATCGTTGCCAGTCACTACATCATTTTTTGCCAAACCTGGGTTATATTGCGAAATGCTTAACTTTTTAAAAGAGACAGGTTTTTATTATAAATTTTAATTTGTATATATATATTTATGTGTAATATTTTTTATTTTAAATGTTTATATGCATAAAGGGTTGTTTTTTTATTTTTAAATTTGATACACTGTGATATTGTTTTTATTTATGCATATAAAATTTTGTGATATGATATAGCTTGTCTGGAAAGAATCACCATATGTTTGGCGCAATATAGCCCGGTTGGAGCTGACGTGCCATAAAACCACATTTCATTCATTCATTCATTTTTGTCTTGTGTGCGCTCCATGTCTGTATTTCCTTATATCGAAGCAGACGGTATTTACAAAGCACCCGCTCCATAACACATGATGTCATTTCCGATGAAAATTCCCTTGTTATGACCACGGTAAGAATTGTATGAAAATATAATAACAACTGACTCTTTCAGCTATACGGCCTCGATGACAGTTGTGGGGGGGGGGGCAGATTCCGAATATCCCGAAAACAATTCATAGCATTTAAAAAATGGAGAATAAAATATATCACAGTTCTAATTATTATCCAAAAAAACCCATTCAATGATATATTATACAATTAAAATTTATAATAAAAACTCAAAAATTTCTATGTTTTTAAAAAAATATAAAACCGGCTGGTCACATAAATTGTGCATTGACCGGCAACGATAGTGCTTATTAGCCAAATGAAGCTTACTGGCATAAGTTATGGAATAACCTAATTGCTAAATACTGCTTATTGGTGTAAGTATGAAGCGAAGGAAATGGGGTTAACGTGATACCTTTCTGAATCAACCGGGATAATGTAAATTTTGCTACAGCAATGTAAATGAACATGCGTAAAGCTGAATAAGTCACTCGTCAGCCCTGTGCGGGGGTAATAGGTTGAATTATAAATATGTGAATGTTAGTGCGAGGGTTCACTATGCAGGTTAACCCACCAATCGACGCCAGTACACCGTGACATCGTTCACATTATCAGTTACTGACCATGCATTAATATTACATAAAGTAATGTCATTTAATTTGGAAATTTTACAATAAATCGAAACTATAAAAGTTAGTAAAATGTAATAGATGTGCCAGCAACCGTTCGGTTCTCAGTGTTTATTTTTGCATGATAATACGTGTCACGATATTACTACACATAGCAAATACCCACTACACTGGATTTCTCGTTGTTGATTAAATGAAGACAGGACTTTTGTTAATATTTCTCTATTCTTTGGTTAACAATAATCAACATAACTTACAGCAGACAATTAATGTAATAATTATTGGTTCAATGCTTAATAGTAAATAAGCTCCAATGCGGATATGGGAATTGACATAAACTTGTGTCTCCAAATTAAGGTAAATCAAGTCTGTCCTTAGGGATATGATCTGAAGTTGATCTCCTTTTGACAGGTTTCTAGAAAGCTTCATCTAATTCTGTTATTTAGGTCTATATCTATATATCTACATGTATCTCCTAGGGCATTAATCCTACACATCTGCCGTGTATGCAAACAATACGCCATGGTAATTTAAAATGCTTTAGCCCGTAGACGTTATCTACAATTTTTAAGGTCAATTTAAAGTGTAAAACAAAGAATACTAGAGACAGGTGATTAAATAAATGTATTAGACAATATGAAATAGATATAAATGGGGGTTAATTAAGATCGATTAAGATATATTTTACTGAATTGAGTAATACTGTGCGGATTAGCACGACGTATTAAACATTTACTATCGGGGCATAATTCACCCTACTGCAGTATGCCAAACGAGACACGGTAAAGAATGCGCGTTAGTTTACATGAACATATTTACCTGATGTCGTGTCTATTAGAACAAACAAGATGGGTACCATAAAAACCTTCATGATGAGCGTCTACTTCTAAATATACACCCGACCGTTTGACGAAATCAATGTAAGGCTGAATGTAGAGAATATAAAATTGTAGCTGTTTATATATCTTCGGTGGAAGCCGACGTTACATAAAAATATTTCACGCATAAAATCATTTTGGCTGCTGATTTATATCTTTACCACGTGGACGGATCTGTTGCAATTTAAACACACATATTTCTGTTTTAATTAATTTTCATATCGTTTTAAATTAATCTTAATATCGCAAAATAATGTATATAAATTTTAAATTAAATTCCTTATCGTTGTAAATTAAATTTTAAGTATTGATTAGAGTTGCATGCCCAAGCTCGTGGGTTTTTTTATTCTCCCCTTAAAACAGATGGGGTGGATGGCCGAATGGTTAGCACGTGCGCGCTGTATCATAAGGTCTGTCATCGAGTCAACTGGCGTAGTTTCGATTCCCCGGTTGTTAGTGGCAAGGAGTAGGGTCGCTTATCCAACCTCGTAGAGGGGGGTGGGTACGTGGCAAGGAGTAGGGTCGCTGTTCAAACGCGTGGGGGGGGGGGGTAGTGGTGGTGAATGGCCGAATGGTTAGCACGTGTACGCTGTATCATAAGGTCTGTCATTGGGTCAACTGGCGTGGTTTTCATTCCTTGGTTGTACGTCAGAAGGAATAGGGTCGCCTGTCCAACCTCACGGGCTTTCTCCGGGTCCTCCGCTCCGGTTTTATCCCACTTCTAAAGACCCCTACGCGCAAGCAAATTGTTGAAATAAAATTGAAACATGTTAGTCCCGAAATGACATAGTTTGTGTCGAGTGGACGTTAAACCCTTTTTCCTCTGTCTCTCCAATCTCGTGGGGTTTCTCAGAGTCCTCCAGTTTCGCCCCACTGCTAAAGACCCCTACGCGCAAGCGAATTGTTGAAATGAAATTGAACCATATGTTAGTCTCGAAATGACCTACTTTGTGTCGAGTGGACGTTAAACCCCATTTCTCGCTCTCTTTACACAGATGGTGATGGGGTAGTTTCGGCTACCGTAACGCCATCTGGAATCATTTCTCCCAGTTTCTAGCTGCTGCTTTCATATTTACTACTAAACTCCTGGGCCCGGTTCCTAGAAAATTCTTAGAGTAAGCACAAAGTCATGCTTCACTTTTTCTTACGTAAGAAACTTATAAAAATAGCGTCCCTAGAAAATTCTTAAGACCATTCTTACGTAAGCACAAATCAAGTATAAGTCTAAGTACTTTGTGACTGGTAAAGTTTACCATAAACTGAGACTACGATGCTCTTTAACGTCATAAAAATAACTTTGGTATGCGAATTACGTCATAAATTTATCGTCTGCTTCATTCATTCATTCATATTTATATGGTTGATTTAGATGCATTTGACATGTCCCCTATACACATAAAATGTGCCACAAGATAAAAACGCAGACACATACAAACTAAATGAATAATTGTGAGAGCGCCTGTGTGTTTGTAGCCTATTGTTTACTAATTGGCAAATAAATAAAATGGTTTCAGGGTAGAAGCGAAATTTCCTATACCATTCTTAATTTTTTCTGGAGAAGGATTTTCTCTGTCTTGTAATTGTCTGTTTGGTATCAAAAGGTGTCGGAAATTCCGTCGAAAAACTCTACGGTCAGCCATCTTTTTGAAGCAGAAACAGACTTAAGGTTGGTAAGCAAGCCGTATACCTTGCTTGGGACTTGTGCTTAGATTGACTATGTTTAAGAACGAAGTTGTGCTTAAGTTTTTTCTTGGAACGCATAATAACGTTCTTGTGCTTCAACGACGTCTACTTAAAATCTTAGCACAAGAACGTTCTTAAGAATTTTCTGGGAACACAAAATAAGGTAAGTTTACTTAAATGCAAAGTCTACTTAAATCTAAGCACAAGAACGTGCTTAAGAATTTTCTAGGAATCGGGCCCAGGCCATTCTTCAGGCTTTGGCGTTCATTAAACCCTCTTCATCTTTAAAACACGTTATATTTAATTGTTCTTTATCCTTTTTACAAACAATGAACAATACCAATTAGTAGCAGATATGTATAGTTCGCTACTTTCATACGAGTTTAACAGCAAGTCTGCTTTAGATCTTGACATATTCACAATTCCATTCCCTTTCGCCGATTTTAAATTGCCAATCATTTTTTTTATATACGAGTCTCTTAGTAGACTGTCTAAACTCCTATAGAACCACCAGGAGGGATGAAGTTGTTTTGTGTCGCTCTCATATAGGTACTTTTTTATCTTACATTTTCATATTAAAGCGAGAGCCTCAACCAGAATGTGAACACTGTCATGTTCCCTTGACAGTTAAGCACACTGATGTCTAGTGCTTGTCCCGTGGGTATTTTTCAGGGAATCCAGTATTTATCAAACTAGATTTGGGTCTCTACCTTCCATATAACTACCCCATACAAACATCTTTAAATTACATGGCTGATAAGTTTCGTTGTCAAAACCCCGCGTTGTGTTGTTTTGAGCACATTAAAGGTATACGAGCTTGTCACTTAATTGAATCATATATATTATTATTTCTAACTGAACGGAATTTCCCCCATTTCAATGCTCATATTTTAAAATGAAATGAAATGTTTTATGGCACGTTAGCCCCAACCGGGCTATATTGCGCCAAACATATGGTGATTATTTCGAGACCGGCTAAATTATATCACGGAAAAAATTAATTGCATAAATAAAAACAATATCACAGTAAGAAAAATTGAAAAGAAATAAATCTTTTATGCATATAATTACTTTAAATACAAAAATATATATAACTGATGATAAAAACCTGTCTTTTAAAAAGTCTTAACACTTTATTATATAAACCCGAGTGGGCAAACATGTGATGTAATGACAACGTTAAAAATGAGATGCTTGCACACAATCAAAATATGCTTAAAGATACATTATGTAAGATTTAGATAAAGAGATAGCCATTATTGCTATAATAGTTCGAAAATAGATAATATAAAATGAATAATTTGAAAATTTCATTCAAATTACTCTATTGCGAGCGAAGAGATTAGCCTTGGAAGATTTGACAACACGTGTGCAAAAATTTGAATCACCCTACTGGTTGTTCGAAGCCAAGTCTCGCTCCTCCATTTTTAGCTTAAATCAAAATAATGACTGAACTGTTCAAATCTATTTAATATCAGAGAAATCCGACGCCATCGAGAGTTGATTATTGCCTGGATAAGTTAATTAATGTCTCATTAATAATTTAGAAAACATTTCAGGCCTAACAAAAAGTGATTTACTGATGAAATATTAAACTCCAAGCAAGCAAAACGATCAGCAGAAAATAAATGGCGGAAGACTAAACTCGAAATTCAAAGGCAAATATATAATCATCATAGAACTATCACCAATAAATTAATTAAACAGACTAAAACTGCATTTATTAAAAACAAGATAGAACTAAATAAAATAATCCTACGCAAATTTTCAGAATCATAGATAGTATTTCTAAATTAGTAGAAAAAAAATTGATTCCCCCAGTAAAATGTGCTAAAATCAATTTTGATTGGCTAAGCACTAAAATCAATCTAACATTATCCAATCAAATTACGAAAATTTGGATTTTATCTTAGTTAAAATTTCGTGAAACAGGCCACTTATTTGGAAGATTCAATATCTACAGTCTGAAACTACAATGAACCATCTATACACGATTTACTGACAAGTTTTGAGCCAACAACAGCGTCTGATGTGTCCAAAATTATTTCAAAATCTGCAAGTAAGTCATGTGATTTAGAACCGATACCCACATGGTTATTAAAACTTTGCTCATCTGCCGTCTGTCCTGTTGTTACACATATTGTGAATCGCTCACTAGAAAATGGGGACGTTTCTGCATCCCTTAAGAATGCTCTTGTCAGACCCTTACTAAACGGTTGCAATGAAGAACAAAATATTATTAAACTTGAAAAATGCATCGCAGAAATAAGATTGTGGATGAAACAAAATCTGTTAAAGTTGCTCTTCCTGCTACAACACTAAACCACCCCTTAAGACTTATACAAAATAAAGCAGCAAGCATTGTGTCATTAACCCCATTACGCTACCCTATTTCCCCAGTTTTAAAGCAGCTTCACTGGCTCCCTATTCCCTATAGGATTGATTTTAAAGTTCTCTGTCTCACTTATCTGTTAAAGTTGCTCTTCCTGCTACAACACTAAACCACCCCTTAAGACTTATACAAAATAAAGCAGCAAGCATTGTGTCATTAACCCCATCACGCTACCCTATTTCCCCAGTTTTAAAGCAGCTTCACTGGCTCCCTATTCCCTATAGGATTGATTTTAAAGTTCTCTGTCTCACTTATACATCTTTACATTGAAAAACTATTTTTTATAATTTTACTGATATACTTTTATATGTTGTTTCTTTATAAGTTTACTGAAATACTTTTACTTGTCTCTTATGTTATGGTTTCTTTGCTAGACCTTATTTTTTTTATTTTCTAAAGAATCTATTCGCTTTTTCGAATTGTCTCATTGTAAAAGCGCTATAGAGCAGCTGTTTCCAACTGGATTTTGGCGCTATATAACTTTAATAAATTTTTATTATTATTAAGAAAGACCTGCAATAGGCAGATTTAGCTCTTGCATTCTGTATGTTTAACTGTCGAAGGAACACGGTAGTGTTCACATTCTGGTTAAGGCTCTCGCTTTAAAATAAAAATATGAGTAAAAATGTATGACTAATGCAAAAGCGACACAACAGAATATATATTTTGATGCAGTCTCATTGATTTCAGTATGGTATGCAATTTAATTTCCTATAGTTAATTACTTTTCATATCACTAGATTTCAAATTATATTAATAAGTGTATATCAATAATGTTCTCCGGAGTAATATTTAGATAAAATGTTCCCTTGACAGTTAAACACATTTTGATTGAGTGCAAGCATCTCAAAGATACAAGATCAAGATATTATCGTTGCCAGTCACTACATCATTTTTTGCCAAACTGGGTTATATTGCGAAATGCTTAACTTTTTAAAAGAGACAGGTTTTTATTATAAATTTTAATTTGTA